TGTGCATTTTTGCTCTAAATATAACCTCTCCACTTCCCCTGATGAGGTTTATCCTCTTTCTCTTTCTGCCTGTTCCTTTTGTCTTTGCTGCTCCATTTGCTGTTCCCTTTCTCTCTGTAACTGCTGTTCCTTTTCCTTCTGCAGCTGTCTATGCTGTTCCAATTGCTGCTTTTCCTTCTCTTGTTCCAACTGCTGTTGCTTTTCCTTCTGTAGCTGTCTCTGCTGATCCGTTTGCTGTTCCTTCTCCCTCTGTAGCTGTCTCTGCTGTTCCATTTGCTGTTCCTTTTCCTTCTGCAGCTGTCTATGCTGTTCCAATTCCTGTTTTTCCTTCTCTTGTTGAAGCTTCTGTTCCTTTTCCTTCTCTAGCTGTCTCTGCTGATCCGTTTGCTGTTCCTTCTCCCTCTGTAACTGCCTTTGCTGTTCCATTTCCTGTTCCTTCTCCCTCTCTAGCTGCTGTTGCTTCCTCCTGGGCATCTTGGCCTGCTGAATCTTGCCCCTGACGATGTTCCAGTGGTTGACAATGTAGTCTTCATGTGGCGCCAGCTCGTGGGCCTGGGCAAGGCACTTCTCTGCGCGGTACAAGTCTCCCTGCTCGAAGTACACCACACACAGGTTGTGGTTCGCCTGGATGTTCTTTGGTTCCGTCTCCAGAATTTTCTCAAAGCACTGTGTTTACAGGAAGGAAGAAAGGGAGTATTTAGATACACATGCCAGACAGGGACTAATGTAAAAAATATGTCTTGTTATTCTTATGTTTTACTGTTAGTACATGTACTTTTTGTTATATTACTGTGAATCTTAAGTTTATTTTTGATGACGACTTGTCAAGGAGTGTCTTGAAATGCAGTTATTATAACTGAAGATATATAAAAAAATTTCATATGAGAAAGTCTTATAGGAAAGAAGAAGAAAGAATAAAAAGGGCTTAATATACTAGTTAACTGTTGAACTCCTACTACCTTATTAATTTACTAGTACTACATGTGCATGACCTCAATGAAAAGCAGCTTGCATGCCAATTCTTTGAGCTTTCATGAATAAAGAATGGTTCAAACAAACAAACAAACAAACAAACAGACAGACAAACAAACAAAAATGACCTTCTTGGCCCCCTCCACATCCTTGACCTTGTTCATGATAATGTTTCCCTTGAGGATGAGGCCCTTGCTGTGGTGAGGGAAGTGTAACAGCAGCTGGTCCAGGTAAGGTAAGGCCTCCAGGTCTCTCTTAATCTGAGACAGCATCAGGGCCAGATTAAACAAGGCACTGCGGAAATCTGGCTTCAACTGTGGTGAGATAGAGAGAGAGAGAGAGAAAACATATTTATTGTTAATTCCACCAAAATGGCAAGTGGTTAGAGTTGTTCACTCAGAAACTAAAGGTTCTGGGTTCGAATCCTGGTTGAACAAGGCACTGCAGAAATCTTGCTTCAACTGGGGTGGGTGGGATAGAGAGAGAACAAAATGGCAAGTGGTTAGAGTTGTTCACTGGCTAATGGATACTGCCTGGCCAGTTTGATACTGTCTTTCTGCCACCAAAAGGGATCTGCTTGGAGATTATCACTGACCTGTATACTGTGTCTGAACCACTGGTCGGCTGCGGTGAAGTTCTTGTCGTCCATGGAGAGCATGCCCAGGTTAAAATACACCTTCTCGTTCTGCGGCTCCTGTTCCAAGACCTGAGGAATACATAGAACATGAACTCAGAACTCTCGAATGTAGAGCAAACCCACACACAGACTTGTAAATAGCTTGTCAGATTACTTAACAACAGCTTGCTGTGAATAACACAGTGCTATAGTACATGTATGTGCAAGGTTTTACACCACAATACTTTTAAACTGTACATGTAGGTATACGTAACACACATAAGGTTTGTATTATTCTTAGATACTAGTACTGTATTATATTTGACTGATATTGTAATGCTTTTAAATTATAATGTGTTCTATGCTGCTTTATATTGTTGTGAGATCCTAATTGGAGTTTCCGATGTATGACATGTACATTTGCTGATTCAACCAGTCTCAGATCAGAGCATCCTCCGATCCTCACCTCGTACAGACGTCTGTACGCCTCCGGTCGCAGCGCCGGGTCACCTGACTCCTGCATCATCACCGCTGAGTTGAACAGGGATTGCTGGGAAAAATAAAAAGCACAAAATCAATTTTCAGAGTCTGACGTATTTTCTTACACTGTATCATGACATTGAACTACTTTTAAGTGTACATGACATGTATATTGAAGTATGTAATCGTAACAGGTTTTATTGAATCAGATACATTTCCATACCATTTTTGCTTGTTGCACAAAGTGTATGTGTGAATTTATTAATCAAGCAACTGTTGACGGATTTATTTTGTATTACATTAATGTCCAAACTTCATCAAACGACTATCTGTTGATTCCTGCCCACCTTGTGATGAGGGTCCAGCTGCAGTGCTCTGGTCATGAGACTTTAAGGCCCGACTTCTGTCCCCCTGTTCTAGCAGCACTATGCCCAACTGGGAACAACAGGAATAGAATACAATCCGTTAGGTATAAAATAGGAGGCTCCTGGATACACTTACATTATGTAAGCTTTGGAAAGTGCAAAAAGTCAATTTTCTAGATCTGGACATTCAGGAAGGGGCAGTTTTTAGCAGCACTATATGCCCAACTTACAGTGTATACCCGGTATACCCGGCCTTCAGCATAACAAACCAGCTTCGCGGCAGCACTGAATGACCTGTTACACTCAATCTTTGTACATTTGATTGCAGGAGCTGTTTAAAGCTTTCTAGTGATGATGCCCCAACTATGCTTGGTGGCAAAGAGTTCTACTCTACAATAGTTATTGGAAATTATGAGTTATCATTATGTGATACAAAATAAAATCAAGGAAATGGATTTAAGATTAACTCATTTATATACAAGTTACACTTGTCTTCAGACTCATTTTCAGTAACTGATGAAAGATACCAGATGCTGTCTGAAATATCTAAGTCCTCAGAGAATTTAGAGTCTTTCTATGATATATTAAGTCTCTTAAATCTGCACGTATAATCTAATAAATTCATGCCTCTAAATTTGGGCCTACAGACAAGTACAGTACCAGCTACGAAGTATGACGCAACTTTAATGTAATAAAAGCCTTATGATGTAACTTTAATTTAATAAAAACCTATTAATGAATGAAAATCAAATCAACTGCAGACAGAAAATCCTTAGAGTCCATTGTCAAGGGCAACCTTCGGGTAAGTGAGCATTTTCCGAATAAATGACATCATTCATAGTTACCAAGCTGTGTATTTGTCATCATCTTTGGATGCTAATTTTCTCCAGCACTTTAAACTCTGAAAAAGTCCCACTTGTGTTGTTGGTTATAGATGTTAAAGTAGCCAATTGGCTACCAAGTGTCTAATGCATGGTAGGCAGGGAGAAGGTTAGTTGATAAAAAGGGGTTAGATTGTAAGGGAGGATCACCTGTAACACCAAACGAAGGACCACCCGCAAACTTTCAAATGTTAATTTCTTTGCACATTTAGTCCAGTAATTTCTTCCTGAAATTGAGACATGGCGCTAACTCTTCCATGTAGAAAACCGAGAGATTGATTTAGTTCAGCCTCACTGCCGTCACACACATTGTCGTGTCCCGGTCACATGATGACAATTCAATTTGTGAGAATTAGTTTCAGGCCAACGTTTTCTGCTCCAGTGTCGGAGCTGTTGATCCGTTTGTAATGACTCTGGATAATTGCATCAAGATCGAGTCTAATCCAATCTCACTGCAAAAGGGACCGACAACCTTTTGGTCACAACTCACTTCACAACTGTTACAAGTGTGAGATACACAAGAAAACTGTTTCTCAAGCAAGTAGAAAGATTTTTGAAACTGTTCAAGTAGCATCCACTTCTATACCTCAGTGACTGATGGAATTTGAAGTTGAACAATTTCTGTAGACGTAAGTTTAACTACAGATTCTTTTAGTCACTGATCACAAGATGAAAAGACTTGAAAAGTCCAACAGTTTTTTTAAATCCATTGAGTTGCTTGTGTATAATCATCAATTGAACAATGTCATGATATTAAATGAAACATGATTATATAACCTTTCAAAATTTTACCACCTTTCTTCTAAGAGAACCAGGTAAAGAACTTGCTGCCGTCTGTGCGAGTGCGGAAAAATCAGGAACACATAACGTTAATCCTCCATATCCATTTCAAAGCGAGGGGAAAAAGCAAAATACGACTTTATAATCCCAGATTAACAAGACTTCCCCCAGGGTGGATAATCCACATTTGCCAGCCATATGTCTGTAAGGTGATAACAAAGGCAAGGTCACGGGCATGTTATGGTTCTATTGTTCTTTGTAGGTGTATAAGAAACATAAGGTACATTTAGCCTATTATGTTTACACAACGTGAATGGGTTTTTAGACATGTCAAGAGATGTTTTGCAAAAATTCTCATGAACAATAAAGATTACACATGTATTTTCTGATTATACATGTATTTTCATATTTACTTCACAACAACAAACTGAAATTTAGTTTTTGGCTTGTCATTCCTTCATTCAATCATTCATTCATTCATAAATTTATAAATTCATTCATTCATTCATCTGTCAATTCGTTCATCTGTCAATGCATTCATTCATTTATTCATTTGTGCATTCATCCATTTGACATTCTTTTATTTTTTCTTCCTTCTTTCATTCCCTTCTTCCTTCTGTCCTTCATTTCATTCATTTGTGCATCCATTTATTCATTCATCCTTCGGTCATTCATTCACTCATTTTGTTGGCTCAAGATATAGGCCTATAACAACTTTTCTGTTTACCCCAACACAACAGTCCACACATGTTCCTCGCAGGTTAGTACAACACTTCAGGGCAGGAGGGTAACACCTGCGAATCCACCTGTAAACACCTGCAAATCCACCTGCAAACACCTGTTAATCCACCTGTACACACCTGTGATATTGTACCAGATGTTCCATATTTACTAAGCCACTGCCTCGGTTTGTTCAAGGCTGCAAAGATCCCAACAATTGTCCAGGTAATCTGGACAGGGCTCGAAATTCATTTTTGGGAATAGGTGCACTAGTGCAACTGACCTAAAAAATTGGGTGCACAATTTTATTTACGATGCACTACATAACACGAAATAAATAGAATGTCAGCAAAAATTAATTATGTTTCATTTCTAAAGAAAAGTACTATCCGTACAACAATGATTTTTTTTGACACTTACATGTTAAGAATATGCTGTATGCTATACTCAGGGCTCGAAATTCATTTTTGAGAATAGGTGCACTGGTGCACCCAACCTTAAAAATTGGGTGCACAAAAATTTGTTTGGGTGCACCATATAAAATAAGTAGAATGTCAGCAAAAACTAATTATGCTTAATTTCTAAAGAAAAGTACTATAACAATGATTTTACTATTTTTCTGACACTTAGATATTAAGAATATGGTGTATACTACTATACCTTTACTAACATCTTTCATAGTATTACGTATTTTAATACCTATCAAAATATTTGGGTGCACTGGTGCACCCACAGAAAAAAACTGGGTGCATAGCTCCAATCTGGGTGCACTAAGGTGCACGATTTGCACCCAGTATTTCCAGCCCTGCTGACAAACATCCAAACTCTTCAAGTGTTCAAATCTAACATTTATTCACATAGCACCATAGGTTTGAACTATTGACTAACACTAGTAACAGAAACTGCAACATTTTGGCATATCACTATCAGGTTTCAATACTGAGTCCCAAGCAAAAGTAACAGAAACACAGCTTAAAGGGTGTGTTATACTTTGGACTGAAACAAATAAGGCAAAAGTTAGGCCATCAATTTGTTGCCTTCCTATGGACCAATAGAAATTGCTACATTTCGGCATATCAAGTTTCAAACTATATTGAGTCCCAAGCAAAAAGTAAAACAAAACACAGCTTAAACTGTATACTGGTACATGTATACTCTTTACTTTGGATTAAAACAAACAATTCTAACCAACCTTTGCCAGTGTGAATCCCAGTGCAATGAGCAGTACACTCACAGAAGCCATGGTTCTAGAAACTCTCCCCTCTGCCTCAGTGAGTACCAAGCCTGGCTACACAGCCTTCTCTGTGGGCACCTTTCCCCACATCCCGGTCTATATGTGAGCCTTCATGACGTCTGCACATCTGTAGGTGGAATAAAGATTTTGATGTTGGTGTGCATGTGTCAATCGAAAGCCAAAGGGGTAGGAAGCATCTTACAATTTGACCTTTCTCAGGCAATCCTACATGTAGTTTGATAGGCCACAGAAAATCATTTCAGAATCTATGGTTCTCAAGCATTTCAAAGCAAAGATGCTGTTGAAAAAAAGGATGTGAGTTGAAAAGGCTCTAAGGCCACACCAAGTAAATTTTATGGATGACGTCCTTTGGAGACTCCAAATCTAATGCGAGAGGGCGAAAAAAAAACAAGATGGGCCCAAAAAAACAAGATGCCTAGATTAGAAATATACTAAGAGACAACAGATGTTAGGACACAAATTGAATGAGGTGACACAGTGTAACAAACAAGAAGTCTTTTATTCATCATCAAAACAGCAATAAATCAGGTGGAACGGCAGTTGTCGTCCTGTCACATTTTTGCAGGCCTGCAGAAACAAAGCATAAAAGGCAAAATTAGTTGCTGATTAACCCTTGCATGCATTACTGCATTTCTACCTATGCAAATAGTCTATAGGAGCTTTTGAGAAAGAATATCAATAAAGGTGGAACCAAACAGAATATGTTTAGAGCTATTCTACATAAGTTGCATAATGTATTTATGTAGGTAACAAATGTATGCCTACCTGACAAACAGGGTTTATTGTCTGGTATGCAGCTGAGTCTTCTCTGCCAGTATGGGCAGCGTTTCCTCCTCACCACAGTTCCAGCACACCAAAGGCAGCATCGTCTTCATCACCCCTGACTTCAGTCTGGCTGAATAGTAGTACTGTGCTACTGGTGAAGTGCATGTCACTGCACTACATGAAACAGGTGGAAAATTATGGAACAATAGTCAATTGTGCTAAAATCCAACTCTTCAGAAAATTTTTTTTTTCAACATAAAGGCTTAGGTTATATGTTGTAGTTAAATGTACATCTTTACTGTCCCCAAAGTGCCTTAAATTTAAAGGGTATATTCTGCAACAATCCATATCAAATGTACCTCACTACTCACCTGTGTTGTTATTGCTACATTGTTGTGTGCTCCAGTCCCAGCATAGGCTGGAAACATCCACTCCTG